GGCCCGAAACGTCAGCCTTTCTGCTCCTATGATGCTGCTTGGCCTGCTGTGTTCATCCAGCCCTGCACTTTGTTGTCTCATAAAAGTGTCTGTGATGTAATGGAAGGTAAGAGTATTGAAAGAGCAGAAAGGGACAATTGTTCAAGGCTAATGCAACAAACATATAAAGAAAAGAGGTGGTGTAAAAGGTTAATAAGACCTTAATTTCAGAAGAAATATTAACAGGAGTAGGCCATTCAGCCCCTCTAACCTGTCCCGTCATTCAGTAGGACATGGCTGATCTGAAATTGTTCACGTCCATTTTTCTGCCCATCCCCTTAACCTTTGATTCCCAGACTAATCAAGAATCTATATATGTCAACCGTAAATATACGCAAGACTATGCCCCCACTGTTGTATGTGGCAAGGAGTTTCAAAGATTTTTAACCGTCAAAGAAATTTCTCCTCATCTCCGTCTTTAATTGGCACTCCTTTATTCTGAGATGATGCCCTCTGGTCCTAGACTCTCCCATGAGGGGAAACATCCCCTCAGCATTTACCCTGTCCAGCCTCTTAAAATTCCTGCATGTTTCAATGAAATCCCTCATTCTTCTTAACGCTAGTGAGTTGAATCCTGACCTGTTTAGCTTTGCTCATAAGGCAGTCCTTCCATCCAGGGATCGTCCTAGAGAACCTTCTCTGAATGGCCTCCAATGAAATAATACCTTTCCTTAAATAAGGGGACCCAAAATGCTCTCATTACTCCAGATGTGGTCTCACCAGCACCTTGTGCAGTTGCACCAAAATTTCTCTACTCTTATACTCCAAACCCCTTAAAATAAGGGCCAACATTCCATTAGCCTTACTAATTAGCTGCAACATCTGTGTGCCACCTTTTTGTGTATTGGGCACAAGTACTTGCAAGTCCCTTTTGTGTTACAGCTTTCTATTGCTTTTCTCCCTTTCAAATAATATTCTGTTCTTTTTGTTCTCGCTTCCAAAATGAACAACTTTGCATTTTCCCATGCTAAACTGCATTTGCCAACTTTTTGGCCATTTGCTTAACCTATCGATATCTCTCCGTAAACTGTTTGTATCCCTCTCACAACCTGCATTTCAGTTTATTTATGTGTTGCTTGCAAATTTGGCTGCAGCAAATTCACTTCCTTCCTAAGTTGTGCCTTCCTCTATAGGTTATTTGTCTCCAGCACAATCCTAAATAAATCTAGTCCCATTTGCCAGCATTGAGCCATATCCCTCTAAACCCTTTCTATTGATATATCCATCCAGATGCCTTTTAAATGCTGTAATTTTACCAACCTCCACTTCCTCTGGCAGCTCATTCCATACACCCTCTGTGTGGGGAAAAAGTTGCCCCTTAGGCCCCTTTTAAATCTTCCCCTCTCACCTTGAACTTATGCCCACCCCCCCAAAGGGAAAAGTCCTTGTCTATTTACCCTATCCATGCCCCTCATGATTTTTTTATAAACCTCTACAAGGTCACCCCTCAGCCTTCAACGCTCCAGGGAAAATAGTCCCAGTTTATTCAGCCTCTCCCTATAGCTCAAACCCTCCAACCCTCGCAACATCCTTGTAAATCTTTTCTGAACCATTTGAAGTTTCACAACATCCTTCTTAGAGCAGGGAGACCAGATTGCACGCAGTGTTCCAAAAGTGGCCTAACCAAAGACCTCATGATCAAACAAAAAGGATTTTTTCCCATTCCCAATTTTTCCCCGTTAATTTCCCCTTGAACTGAATGTGCAATTGCTAGACTATTCAGAGGGTTATTAAGAGTCAGCCACATGCTGTGAATCTGGAGTCACATGTAGGCAAGTTATGGAGAGAGAAAGAAGTAATGTGGTATGTGAAACTTGGGGATGGCGCTGCCAGGAAGAGGGTGA